TTTAAATTTTATTTCCAAGCTGATTTTCCTTTTCTTATTACACTTTATTTTGATTGTGTTCTTTTCCAAACAAGCATTCTTGCCCCATTTCAATCGGCATCCTTTCTTCTATTCTATTTATGTGATTTCTCTGCTATTGAGCACATCTTGATTATGACATTTTATTCATTCTTCATCGCTTTTACCGATCTGGGATTACTAAATTTATTAACTAAGCCCCTCCGTCATATTCGACTTCTCCTTTCATTTACACTTTTGCCCAAGGTGGACTGACCGGCCAACTGTGATCAGAGTCAGGGTGCTGTGATCTCGGAAGCGCTCAACTCGACTGGCTCGTCCCTCCATCTCTATTCGTTGTGGACGGCCGAAGCCTGTCGCCCCAACCCTTTTGCCCAAATGCCTGCTGCTCCCGGCCACAAGGCCAAGTCTGCAAGCGATCCAGGTTAGTCAAGTGGGCTCTTGAAGCAGCGAATACGAGACCAATCAGTCGTCGAAGCAGACTCAACCTGTTTCTTCTCTGTGCCTTTGTGCAATTTCTCCCACTTCAGCACCGTTCAGACTATGTTGCAGCATCTCTTCCACTCGTGGCCAGATCATACCCTTCACCTTTTGCCAGCAAACAGCCTGCACGTCTGTCACTGCCTCCACCCATTCTCTGTCTGCTTTGCAATCTATTAATCTTCCATTCTGTATCCATTACTCTGTCCCTCTGGCAACAGCCTCATTGTGAACTCACTTTATCACAACCCACTCTGTGGCTCTCTCAGCCCAACCCTCCTCCACGTCCCAACAGTCCGACGTTGTATTCCGTCTGTCCGCCTCTTACTTGGCTCTACAGTCTGCCTCCGACCCGCCGGTTCTTTGCGTCGCCACGTTACTTTCGTCCTCATTTGATGCCCCTCTTCGCTGCCCCTCCCCATCAATTCTGTCTATCCGTGTGTCTGTCCGTCTCTCCGTCTCTCCGTCTCTCTAGCCGTCAAACTCGTCCGACTGTGATCCCATTTCTGCAGTCGTCCAAGCACCCAGAGACGCGGACACGTAGAAATAAATCTCTGGAAGCACACACCAACACACCAACACACCCACACACACACACCCACACACACACACACACACACACACAAATACACACATACACACATAGACATGTAGTGAGTGAGCCGGCGGACATATTGACTTGACATTGGCATAAGCGTCTTTTTGGCCATTTCTCTGTTTTCCCCTTTGGCAGACGAGTCTGATCGAGTGTAGACTTGGCTTGTCGCGCATTTCGGTACCTTCTGGCCTCGATGGTCTGACCGGCGGCAACATGTCCGACAGGCTCTCGTCCGGCAGCGCCGCCTCCTCCTGCTGCTCGCCGCGGCCGCCGACGAGGCTGGCGACGCTTGCGCTGACGGCCGCGCTGATGCTGCTCACGTCGGCCAGACTCGAGCGGTGCGACGCGGCTCGGCCGTACGGCGCGATCCTCTCGAGCCCCGGCGGCCGGTGCGTCCGCGTCCCCTCCGATCCGCAGTACTTGCGTCGGCCGACGGACGGCGGTTTCGAGGTGCGCGCCTACCTGTTGCCGAGGTCGCACAAGACCCGACCCGGCCGGACTCGCTACAGTCAGGCCGAGTTGGTACAGGAGCCGCCGGTCGAGACGTACCAACCGCCGGCCGGCTTCCTGGCGCGTCGCGAGTACCAAGTCGTGGTGGGCCCGCAGCGCGGCCTCGCCGGCTTCGCGGCTCCGCAGCATCTGCTCGCCGTCTACATCGTCGCGGTGCCCGCCGGCACGCCGGAGCTCGACGAGCCGCACCACGGACTGGGCTACTTCTTGCCCAACAACTGCTCCGCCGACGCGGGACTCGGCAGCGCCCATTTCGACTACACTTTCCCCTCCCAGTTCGGCTTCGTCTGGATCGCTCCGCGCCTCCGAGTCGCCACCGCAACCACCACCACCACCACCACCGCCGCCGCCGCCGCCGAGTCGCCGCACCCTCTCCGGCCGTCCAGAGCTCGTCTGCCCTGTCTCGAGCTCAGGGCCGTCGTGGTGCCGCGCACCTCCTCCTACATCTACTACAAAGACGCCGGACGACTGACGCTGCGGCTCTGTCTGCTCTCCGTCGCCGACACGGACGACTACGACTCGGACGGCGACGGCGACGGCGACGGCGACGTCGACGGCGACGGCGAGGTGCTGACGCTGGGCGCGGGACTCGGCTCGACGCACTTTCTGCAGCCCGGCCAGCCCGGACACAGACGCGGCGACGGCGACGGCGACGGCAACGGCAACGGCGACGGCGACGGCAAGACGGGCCGGTACCCGCGCGGCCGGCCGTTCATCCAGACGGGGCTGAACGGGACTCGCTGGACGTCGAGTACTTGGACGGAGGAGGGCGAGAGGGTGGCTCGCGCCGACCGTCGACCGCCTCGAGCCCCCCGGTTCGAGAGCCCCGGCGGCGGCGACGAGGAGCGACCGAGCGCCGGACGCGGCGGCGTCGAACTGGCCGGCCAGTTCGTCCAGTCGACGCAGGCGCCGGACGACGTGTGTCGGCGTCGCGAGGCGGAGAAACGGCGCGACTGCCAGGCCTGCCACACGGCGATCTACCGGATGACGGTGCGCTCCGACTGGCAGAAGCAGCAGCACTGGCGCGACTGGCCCGTCTACGACGCCAAACTGGCCGAGCGGATGCCGCAATGGACGGACATTCTAGGCAAGCCGACAGCCCACTTTTTGCCACTTCGTGACCGTCTCCAGACGACCCACGGACCTTGAAGAAGAGCTCGAGTTTACTCGAGGTCGCGGAGGTTGATGCATTTGGACACAGTTACGCGGCGAGAATCGAACCTGAGGTTGGGTAGGAGAGTGTACACTCGCGACAGACCACGGGAAAGACGAAAATGTAAAGGCTTTTTTGTTGCTTGACTGTCGGGGAAGCAAACTTTTATTTGCTTCTAGACGCGACTACACTACTTATATAAGCAGTGTGAGTAGTTCGCAAAATGGCCATTTGAACGTGAATAGGCAGCGATACTCCATTTCGGCTGAGGCTGCTGATGAGACCAGTTCAGGCTACGTTGAAACTGCTAATACACATTCATATGAATGTAGGGTAATTTACATATCAGTCATGCACCACAGCTCTCTTTTAGTGAAAGTTTTGAAAACTACTTGTTCTGGTTTTCGAGTAGAATTTCGAGACTACCAGTAAATCAGTAATATGAGATGTATTCACCCTATTTCGTTTAAGGTGAT